ATATTTTATTTATTAGACGATGGCTAATATCCAAGAAGATTTTTATTCAAATAAAGGAGCATAGCTGTTTACAGAATTTTACTCCAATCAAAATATCACTGGGATTGTTTCAGAAGGGAAGATGTATAGACAACTGAAACTCATAATTAAACATTAAAGAGACCACCTATTAGTTAATGGAATTTCATTTTAAATCATTCCAAACACACACAAAATTATTACACATTTAATTTACTCAAAAAAAATTCAATACATACTGTGAGTACAGCATATTATAATTAGAATGAAATAAAATTATTAAGAAGGAAGTTCTAGCTCTTTTGTTTCTGTTCCCTCTTAGCAGCTTCTGCTTCAGCTTCTGCCTTCTCATAAGCTTTGATGAGTTCTTCCACTTCCTTGGCAGACAAGATACGTGTCTTTGTTTTTCCATTCTCACGTGTTAAAGTCGCCATTTCAACTACAATTAAATGGAAAGGAGAAATCACTAATAACTGACATACACATCCATAAAATTACGAGACATCAAAATATATCCCATTAGGAATGCCACATGAATCTGCATCAATGTGACAAACAGTGATCCTTGGTTATGATCGTTAAAACTGAAAAACTATGGCACATGGGATCATATTAATACTGAACTCTTTTTATAATTTTTGTTATTCATTTTAAGAGTTCTATATTTTAAATGTTTATAACTGTACTTTTAGGTACAATTATTGTGAACACTTAAAATACTTCAAAGTACCAAAGGACTTGACATACAGATTCTTTTGTTGTCACTGGTTATTGGGCATGACAATAAAATATAGTATGTGGTGATGGAAGAAAGAAAAATAACAACCACTACTTCCTTAAAGCATCGGTTTTCAGGGTTGAGCTGTTCATCATCGAAAGCTGAAATTTTACATCAAACTCCAACAGAAAACCAAAGTGTCAGAATCACTACATTTGTGTTGGTGAACTGCATCCAAAAATTTAATCTCCATCACTAATAAAAAAACTTTTCCTTATAATTTCACACTTTGAAGTGGACATCAACTTACAATCTAGGCTGTGCCTGACTAATCTCAAAATCTCTACCTGTGAACTTCTGTAGGTGAAAATTACCTTTCTCTGCTGTAAGCTTTGTCATGTCAAGAGTTTTACTGAGGACTTTAATGGCCAAAACCATTGCATCCTTCAGTGTTGTTTCTCCTTCTTTGTACTCCTGCTTCAGGTTTGATACTGCTGCCTGTGACAAAATCATATAAATTATTACACAAAACAGAGTTTCATTACAGCTGAATTATTTAACATAATCGTTATCATATATGAACAGAGGACTAAAACTCATATACTAAGAGGTTGTCGATCAGATGGCTGATACAGGTTAAGAAAAAAAAAGTTGTTTTAGATTCCATTCTTGTATCACAGAAAAACTCTAACATATGTTGTGTGTCACTTAATGATGTACTAGCTCTTTAGGTTATGTACTGTTGATTGAAATGAAAGAATGATATTTATTTCTGGAATGAACAAATGGTAATGGCCTACTTAACAATGAACTGAAACTTAGAACTAGATGGAATTTTTATGTCAAACAAAATAAAAATGATAAATGTGCCAGTGAATAAAGTACAGCTGTTACATCACTTCAATTGAAACATGAAAGTTTGTCATAAATGTGCAGATGTCCTATAGTTTAATCTTTATGTCATGGAAGAGAGAAAATAATTATTTTTTCTGAGATCTCAGGTTTTGTAGTCACAGACTGTGATGGTATGGATATGTTAAAAGAATGGATGAGCAGAGAATACAAAAAAGACTGTTGGAAATGAAAAGTGAAAGATGGGCAGACCATGCATACAATGGACAGACCACATTAGGAGATGCAGAGAGCACAAATGAGACTGACAGAGGCTGTAGGTTAAATGCAAGAAGGGGCAGTTGGACACTCCAGTAAAAAGTAGACTCACAAGCATGGAAACAACTTAATGAAGAATAAGTCATAAATCATTTCACTTCAGTATCCTCATCTCATCTAGTTTTCATTTATATGCTACCCTTATTATAAACTAAGCATAAAAATAGGAAGTACTTACTGGACTGTTGTTCCCAATGCATGTGGCCTTCCATCCACCATAATTTCCACTTGGATCTGACTGATATAACTGGTAGCCATAATGTCTGTCCCAGCCCATGTACAGAATTGACACACCAAATGGACGCTTCCCTGAGGAAATTATTCCTACAGCCTTAAGGTTGACATATTAGATCTTCCAATAAATATGTACATGCAGGAATTATACAATAATTGCATACAACTCACTATACAGTTTTCACAAAGGGTATTATTACATTTATGTAATTCTACAAATCATTATATGTATATATTGACTTTCGAAAATATCAACTTCTTTGAACAAACATGTCTATCTAGTTTGATGGTAATTTTGTTATACTTCAAATATGAAAAAGTAAAGCCAAAAATTTAAGAGTAAATTCAGAACACAAAAAAGATCAATAATTCGGATATGAGCATGTCTATGAAAACATAATGAATTTTTCTTAATTTTAAATGATAGATACAACTACAAATGTAAACTCTGAATCTATGAAATACACTTGAATAGTCTTGTTAGTCCCATGATTGTATTTTCTGAAATTATTAGGAATTAATTTATTACAGTAAAAGACCAAACTTTTTCTAAAAGTACCAATAATTCACATGACTTAAAAATTAGATACATATAGAGAGAACCATTTAATATTTGGTAATAAAGGGGTGGAAGGATTTACTACAGTTAGTCAATCATAATTTTTGGTTACTACACACAAAATTGTTATCAGACAAACTTCTGACAAGAGTTCTGTTAGATCAAGAATTTTCCAGTGGTCTTGAAGGATGTTTAAACAGCCATCAGTAGAAGCATTTTACAATGCTAAAAATTACAAAAATAAATTATTGATTATATTACCATACAGGCGCATACAAAATAACCTTTTGTTGTCATTAACAAAAAACATTTTCTTAAAATCTCCTTTAAAAAATAGTACAGCTGGAGTAGGTCACATGTAGTTAGTATTTTAGGCATTAGCATGAAAGATTAATTCATGCACGCAAGTAGCTCCCTTTTAATTTAACAACCATTTTATAGACAAACATACATGCTGAAAGTTCACAATTTCTCACCTCCATATTGTGTATAGGCTTGTTTCACATCACACAACCATGATACAAGTTGCTCACAAGGAATAGATTCACCATACTGCAGTAGATATCGTTGAGCTATCATTCTCAATTCATTTGTCAAAACGTTGGCATCTGATGTAATACCAGCAACACTGCAGACCATATTACTACTCACAGAGAAAATCAATTAGCCAAAAAGAATAGGAAAAATACAATATGTGCTCTGCAATAGCATATGTGATCTTTATCAGGTTATTTACAGGGGAAATGTTTAAATAAATAAATACACACACACAGTCACTGTAATCCACCAAATTACCATCAACAGCATTTAATTACTTCTATTGGCTACTTAAATTTGCAAGCATCCATAGATGACATCACCTTACAAGGCCTATATAGACATATTACATCAGCAAAGGATTTGTCTGAAAAGGACTGACCCAAATAGATCAGTAGTAAGAATCCAAAGTTTTCATGAGTACACAGCATTTCCATTTTGATAATTATTTACAATAAACTTCAGTAATACGTATAATAAGTGGAATTTGACAAAAATTATAAATCAGTTAATATCATTACCTTTAATCACATGTGAGTGTTTGATGCACATCAGTGAACTCATATTTAGAAATTAAGGAAATTATTCTCATAAAGGACAGCGTAAGGGTTTGCTGTTATTTAATGTTCAGAATTCCTCTTTTGTTCCAATGTTCTATCATCACAATACATTAAGATTATAAGATATAAATAAAAAGTCATTACTCATTAAGTTTGTATATTTTTTCTGAGAAGAAGACTTCATCCAGCAATTTGTTGGTATTTCTCCTTTCAGCTGCCAAAAGAATTCCATCATTTGCCAAAATTCCAAGGCATGTACCAGCATGACTAATTGCTTCCATAGCATATTCTACCTGGTATAGGCGTCCTACCAAAGAACAATAAACATACGCTTTAGTTCCTACATGATTTATTCCACAGTATTCTACTCTGGCGGCTATAGATGTAATGTTTACCTTCAGGAGAAAATATTGTAGTCCGTGTATCATAACGCCTGGCCTGAAAAAATAAATTTATGCATGAGAGATATGTGACGAAATGGTACAATTTATTACAGCCAAGTATTTTAGGTTAATTCTAGTATTTGAAAATGGACCTAACCTAATTTGGTAAAATTTTATTTATCAAGTACATTCAAAGTTACACTTATAATACAGAAGGCACATATTTCATATCGCAACGGAACCTACCATATTTCAAATTACTGCTTACAAATACAACAAATTGTACCAAAGACTTCTCCACCTGCAACACGATGACAATAATTTTTCAATGTGCAACAAATGACTGTCAAAATATCGAATCTTATACAATTCATTATCGACCTGCAGTATCTCGACTATGTACCCTCAAGTGGCCACAAATGAGACATTATACTTGAACTGAATTATAAGACGGCAGAAATGTCTAATGTGTTGTTTCCAGATGATTGTGCCGTTGCATATGGTATAGCAGAGCGTAAAAATAATATTTCATAATCTTGACCATAAATAACCTCCCACGACTTCTTAATGTTTGTTGTGTTGTTGTACTTGTGAATAATAATCGAACATTGTATGTTTTGTCATGTTTAGATGGCAACACTTTTCGATGATTTCCGAGAGGCATTTAACAATGAAGACACAATTGATGCAAAAAGGGCACAAGGTAGTGACACATTCAATTTGTCAGATTTAATGCTAAATCATAATTGTTATTCATGTGACAAATTTTAGAAAAAAAAGTTCTTCAGTATGTAACGACGCACAGATGTAACAGTCTCTCTGCACTTGTAATGTAATTTATGCAGTCCTTGATGCGCATTTTAATTATGTAATTCATTGATGCAAAAGAAACCGAGTCATTCTATATCGGACTTGCAGATTCGCTGCAGAGGAATGGGAGGTTATCTATGCTTGTGACACACGATTGTGCCAAAGGTTTGGATTTGTGATGTGTATGTTAGGTGATACACCGTGCTGACTCGTTTATTTCAGTTTCGAATTTTTAAAATTGTTGTTTTGAAGATCTTCGACAAAACTTAAACAATATGACAATGAGTTGTATATTAGCTTTAGAGGAGAACACTGAAGACGTGTACCTAGAAACCACTTCATTGTTGCTGAAACTTGTTGATAATGTCTTAAGAAATCCATCAAATCCAAAATATAGGAGTATCAGACTTGGTAATCCAACAATTGCAAATAAACTTTTACCTGCAGTTGGTGCAATGGAATGTTTATTTGAAATGGGGTTTCAAGAAGTGAGTAGTGCCCTTAGGGGTAACATTGTTTATTAGGTTATGAGTGGTTATTTCCATTTTTTAGCATTTTATTTCAGTTATGTGATTTATTAATTTATTTGGGTAACATTACTCAAATGCATTAATAAACAGAACTTAAAGAATATGACAGTGAGTTGTATGTTAGTTTTGGAGGAGCATCCTGGAGACGTGTACCTCACAACCACTTTATCGTTGCTGAAACTTGTTGATAATGTTTTAAGATATCCATGAAACCCAAAATATAGGAGTATCAGGCTTGGTAATCCCTGATACTGGCTAAGCATCAGGGGCATAAAAAATAAGAGATCCAGATGAATCCATTGTAACACTCATTCACCTCACTTCATCCATATCCATATCCTTAAGTTGATAACATTTTTGTGTAGTATTTTTCTCTTCAGATCTTGCCGCATGTCTTGGTTTTGTATTTGATCAATTTTTGTTTTGTTCTTAGTACATATTTACTGTTTGAAATCTGCTTAATGTATATCCCTCGACATGCTGAGGAAATTAACATGCCATCATAAATTTACTAGTTTCAAATCTAGGCATTGATTCATGGTGTCATACTACAGAATAATTAATAACACTTGTTGTTTATGCTATTTAGGGTGAAGACAGTTTGGTATTACCAGATAGTATATCATTAGAAAATCTTAGGCGTATAAGGGATGAGATTTCTACTAGAAGAAACAACTATAAGACAATGCCAGCAACGTCTGCCGCATCATCTGAGCCACCAAAGAAAGATGCATCATGTAAATCTCCATCATCTACAATTTCTACAAGTGTGCCTTATCACACAGAACAAAAACAACTATTGGTAATCTGTGATTATATTATTCCAGCATATCAGTCTTCACTCTACTGTACATCTTAGATGACAGCATACAATTTCTGCTTAGAATGCCCAAGATATGTTCCTTTTTCCAGATGCCAGCTGAGATTTTCCTCAGTATCTGCAGGTAGATGTTGGGCTAGTACTGTAAGGACTCCTTCCCTGCACATCATTTCCAGTTCATCATTCATAATCATCCTTCCATTTCTTCACTATATGGCATATACAATTTATTATCTAATTTACCCACATATTAAAAATGAAAGGTCTGGAATTAACAAAGTATTTAATAAATTGAGTAGATGAAGTATTTTAAAATAATTTTTATTGTTGTAAGTTGAGGAAAATCTTCGACTGTCATTGTAAACTTAGCATTGATGTTACTTTACAGACACACCAGAAACCATTTCTTCAGAGAGTCACAAGCCATTTTCGAGCTGTTTTAAGATATGAAGATAAAGAACTGCAGTCCAAGGCGCTGGAGTTTATTCCTCTGAAAGACTTTGAATTAGCAGCAGAAAATAACATGCGAAACTTGCAGAGAGCCATAAAAAGTGGTTGCACTAATGAGCAAGAAGTTGATATTCAAGAATTCATTTTAATGGAGTTATTGTCCTGGTTTAAGAACTCCTTTTTCAGTTGGGTTGATTCTCCAGAATGTACACTGTGTAAAGGAACTACAAAGTTTGCAGGACATAGTTCCAATTCTGTAACAGCAGGAGAGGCATATAGGATTGAGGTGAATTAACACTTGTATTAAAGTAAAGATTAAATTTGCTGATTGTGATCTTCTGCGTTATGATACTATGTAATCCTGTATGTGGAGGTAACATTCCTCAGAAATGTTGATAACCACCTACAAGAGTACCGACTTTGCAACTGAGAAGACCACAGTCAACATCTTCACGATCAGGAGAATCTCTGTAAATTTATCCGTGTTTAAGCTCCAGTTTGCAAAGACATGTACAGAATGGAGGTAAAGCTGATTGTGTTGAATGACCTACAAGTGTAACGCATGTTTCGTACAGGTATATTCCTGCAACACATGCCAGGAGAAAACGTTGTTTCCCCGATACAATGACCCTGAGAAGTTACTGGAAACTCGTAAAGGTCGATGTGGGGAGTGGGCCAATTGTTTCACATTGATGTGCCGTGCACTTGGCTGGGAGACTCGTTACATTGCTGATGAGACAGATCATGTGTGGACAGAGGTAAAAGGCTTGTCAATGATAAACTATAGAAAAACTTCTGAAACATTACATTTCACCCAG